TCCTGCCCTGGCTCGCCTTCAGCAGGGTCACAGCCTTTCTCCTGTCTAAGGTGCTCCCATATGACACTCTCTTTGTTTTCCTAACTGTGTCTGTGCACAAAGAAATATTGCATTAAAGTCATTACAACGGGATAGTGTATTTACCGGGCGCATGATAAGTGTGTGTGTGTGTGTGTGTGTGTGTGTGTGTGTGTGTGTGTGTGTGTGTGTGTGTGTGTGTGTGTGTGTGTGTGTGTGTGTGTGTGTGTGTGTGTGTGTGTGGCAGACAGTGCGACATTAAGATTAAACAAATGTCTTTCATTTGGGAGCACCCACATATACATATGGAATTGGCCAGATGTGTGTAAATTACTGTTCATGGTCATTTGAAAACAAATGCCATTGTCGGACACACACAAACACACACGCAGAGCTGAGCAGAGCACAAACACACACACATCATGCGCCTTAGTGACCGGACATCTCCTTCATAAAACGAGTAATATGGGGATTAATCGGGCAGTTCGATNGTTTACCCACTTTTTTTCTTGTACAGTGTGATGTCCTTATCTATGTTTATCTAGAGGTATTTTATAGTCTTTTCCTTCTTGAACCTTTGTTTTCTTTATTTTAAATGTACACGGTTGTATTTTGACTTTCTGTAACCGTTTTGACATTTTCTGTATCAGTGTTGACAGTTGAAAGTACTACTGTAGGACTGATTGACGCTGACTTTTCTCAATTGTTTGAGGGTTGTACTGAATAGCATGTTTTATTTCCCCTCAAGCTATGCTTTTACATTCTAATAAATATTCTAAAACAATGGGTTGACGTTTAAGTAATTGATGATCTAAATGTGTTTGTCATTCTGCCAATCCCAACAGTTTGTCATAAAAAATGTTATATTCTGCTTTTTTAAACAGTTTTACAAAGTTGTTCATCCAACTAATTTTGGAAGCATTTTTTATTTTGTATCAACCTTATTTACATATGTGAAGCAAAAAGAGTTTAGTTAAAAACAAAACTGACCATTGGTTGATGTATGAAGGTAGGATTTACTGCTGCAACAGGTTTTTCTAGTTCAACCTACCTAAACAGAACTTGGTGTAAGGGATTCGCTGAGATTCTGGCCCATTATAAGCCTATCCTGAAAAACATTTTCATAAAGCTTCAAGAGTAAAACCTCTCTGTATAACTTCCTTGTAGGTAATTTGCAACCATCTACTGACTGTTACGGGAACACACAAATGCTCACATAATAATGTGTAGGTGAGATTTCCTTAAAGATGGATAAGACTGAAGAATTGTCCCAACTGTGAAAAGTAATTGATAACATTTAAATCATTGTTACGTAATTGCAACACAATCTGATAATGTGGCATTTTTCTTCAAAATCTCATTTGATCACGCCGAGCGGTCTAAGGCGCTGGATTAAGGCTCCAGTCTCTTCGGAGGCGTGGGTTCAAATCCCACCGCTGCCAGAATTTTTTTTTGTTCTGTCAAAATCAAATTTCCAATATCATCATCCAATCTATACACTCGTTATCCAATGTAGAGTGGACCTGAGCCAATCACGCCGCGACTAACAATGGACAGAGCCAATCACCTCGCAAGGTTACAATGATATTATACCGTGAAAGCACACACAATTATTCGTTACTTAGCCTCGCTAACTTCTGAGACAATTTAATTTTTAGTACATCAGTTCATAATATCACAAGTTTTGTTTACCTTATTCAATTAAAAAGAAATCTATTAATGAGTGAATGTGTAAATGAAATGTGGATTATTCTTGCTGCAATAATCATTCAAACCACTGGATGTCGCCAAATAACAATAAATAACTAATTTCCCTTTAGTCATTCAACCATTGAGTTCAACAAGGTTATATCCAAGACCATAACGCTGAATCAAGACCATTTCCGACACTGACTTTTATAAACTATCATGGAAATCGGTTTCAGGCATGTGTGCAAAATAAAGCGGTAATTAACGCGTTTCACGGAAAATGTAATAGTGTTACAAGCTTTTATTTAGGTAAGCAAGCCATCCCTTTCAAAGCATTTCCGGTTCAGTGGAAGCCAACCGTTTTTCTCTTTCCGGTTCAAACCCGCTTCGAACTGCACAAACCACAACAGAAGCCTGGGCCGTTCAAGTCGGATATATCCTCATGTGGTTGTCATTATTGCCTAATTTTATTTAACCGAGTGCAAGATAACGCTTACTAGATTCAGACATGGCAGGTTTACCGCCCGGAGACCCACAGCTGGTCTCCATGATCGTCAATCATTTAAAAACTCAGGGTCTCTTCGACCAGTTCAGGAGGGACTGCCTGGCAGACGTTGACACAAAGGTAAGGAAACAGTCATAACGTCTAATAATGTGTAACTGTTTACTGTCTTATATAACTGGTAATGTAACGTCAACATGTGAATCTTTTTTAGGGTACATTGATAGTAGATATCTGTATTGGATCACCAAAGCTACTCCTCACTGTAGGTGGAAGAAGTACTCAGATCATATACTTAATTAAAAGTAGAAATACCACAGTCTAGGACAAGTAAGAGTCTTATATTCAACATGTTACTCAAGTTAAAGTACAACAAGTATACTTAAAGTACCAACACTAAAAGTACTCATTATGCAGATTGGCTCATATTATTATAACATATTGTTTATGTGTTGGTTCTAATGAGTGATGCATTCATGTGTTTATCACAATTGTTAAATGTTAGGTAGCTTGTGAATGTTACTCCAGGTGTAACTAAAGTCTTATTTAAGTGTTGTCTATATTTCACTTCATAAAACGAAATCTATCGGAAGTAATTAAAGGTACTTAATAAATGTAGTGGAGCAAAGTGTTACCTCTGAATTGTAGTTGTAGGAGTGGAAGTACAAAGTAGTAAAACATTGTGTTTAAGTAGTGTACTTCACATATTTTCATCCCCCTTAGGGTTTTATTTGGGAAGGCATAGTTGTGTTATTTGTTTGACAATCAACCAAATCAATTTCGTCCATTACTTTTGTTAAAACTTTAAACGTAAACAAGTAATGTTCCTGTAGTTTTAATGAGGTTGAAAAAGTACAATAAATACCACTGAGCATTGTTATGATACAGAATAAGTACATATGAATGTGTTGTTGCAACAGTAATTCACAATCATTCATGTTACATATTGATGAGAAGGTCAAGTTAGACCTCTATGATAAACAATTTGTATTTACATTATTGTGGGGTTTATATCAAACATGCTACTGACTCTTTTTGGACAACTGATACCAATTTGACAAAGGATGTAAAAGGACAATATGAAGGACTATAAGTTTAGTTGCTTGTTGCAATTTGGCAGCTGACTTTCACATTTGCTGTTAAAACAACACAGACCGAACACTAACTATTTTCTTACTACAATTCAATGTATTTTACTATACCAGTGGCTACTTCAGAAGATAAGTTAACCACTTAAGCTGACATTTTATATACTAAAAGAGAATTAAGTATTTAGTAAACATGCAAAAGTAGCTTCTCCACTGTGATCATGTTGTTGTTTTCTTCTCCTGCAGCCAGCTTACTTGAACCTGAAACAAAGAGTGGACAACTTTGTGTCCAATCACCTTTCTAACCACACATGGAGCCCTCATTTGAACAAGAACCAGCTGAGAAACAACATCAGACAACTTGTGCTGCAGTGAGTGAGAAAGGAGAATTATACATGTTCCACTTTCTATTATTTAAATCAGCTTTTGCTTATACTTTTCAGGAATGGCTATGTATCTTTTGCGTTATGTTGTTTTAAACTAGTTTTACTTAGAAAATGAAACTGTTCCTCTTAGATCTGGGATGCTGGAGCAGGGGGTGGACAGGATTGTGGCCCAGACGGTGGATCCCAAAGTCAACCATATCTTCAGGCCGCAGGTGGAGAGGGTGGTTCGTCAGTTTCTGTTCCCTGGCAGCTGCTCGGAGGAGGAGCCGCCGCCACCACCGCCTTCAGCTGAGATCAAACCAGACAGCAGCATTCCTGAGCAAGGTGCACCGCTTTTGATCCATCAGTCAACCATGATAAACAAAATGAGGAATTTCTCACAAAAGTTAACTGTCTCCTATCTTTGTCTTTTATACATAAATATGTGTCCCCGGTGTGCCAGGGAACTCACAAAGTCACAGAAAACAAAACCCTCTGTCTTTTCCTCCGTACCCATATCTCTAAAAACGGGGGTACAACGGAGCTGATCCAGATTTGCTGCCGATGTGACGTAATATCGGAGATGTGGGATGGCTTTAGACCTACGGCCCTATCAGAAACGTTGCTATCAGAAACAATGTGCGACGTGTTTTGGAAGTAATATAATCTTTGTTTACATTAGCAAGCCTCGCTAACACTCAGAGCTAACACTGTACTGGAGAGAGTATGTGTAAAAAAGCCCCCCCATCTCTTTTTATTTTTAGTTTCTATGAGGCATGGCTAGAATGGGTGATCAATTTGGTATTTTGAGCAAAACACTTCAAAGACATATTTTTATATATATCTGAGACCTAAAAATAGTATATTAGGAGACAATTAAAATAAAAAAGGATCACACTTACATAATTAAAATGCAACATTATATTTTTTACAGCCTCGTCATCTGCTCCAACTACCACGGCAGCCAGCAACGCCATGTCCATCCTGGACACCATAACCTCTCTAAACCATGAGGCCAGCGTGAGGGCGAGCACCGACAGAGGACGTAGAGATGAGCCCATGATGGGGGAGGAGGGCGAGCAGGACATGTGTATTGTTGAGGAAGGGGACAGCCACCATGAGGACGAGGAAGAGGAGCTGGCTTCAGAGGTTCAGGCTCTAGAAGTGAAGACGGAGGACACGCAGGAAGAGGTGGATCTGGGAAAAGAGGGGTTAATAGAGGAGGTGAAGATGGAAGAGGAGGAGTCAGGAACTCTGGAACAGACCGAAGAGGAGAAGGATAAAGCTGCAAGCCAAACAACTGGGAAACCCACGGAGGAGAAGCAGGATGAAGATCTTCTGAAATCCCCAAGTCAGGATAAGCAGAAAGCCAGAGAGAGGATTAAAGAAGGTGAGCTGTTGTACTGTCTGTAGGTACTTCCTGTTTTACTGTGACTTAGTCAGCATGCATAATATATCTTGATAAAACCACGTGTTAGTATTCAGGGTTTTTATATTCATTTTCTTCGGGTAGATAAAAGTTCAAGCAGAAATTATTAGTTGAGTAGTAGTCCAGCGACAGAAAACTAACTGTTGTCGTGAAAATACGAAGGTTTTCTACTTTTATCTAGTTTTATGTCATTGTAAAATGAATTATATTGTTATGGTTTTGCATCATTGGGTGTATAATTTAAAGAGGACCTTTTTAAGAAACTGTGATGGGCATTTTCTGGATTTCCTAGTAGAGAGAATTCAAAGATTTTCTTTTAGAACTTATAAAACAATTCTCTCATTGTCCAGATGTGTATGGTGCAAACATCTGTATGCCTAACGCAATAGATAATCCACTGAACTTGAGTAACATAATAATAATTACATTTTGGAAAACGAGGATTTTTTTGTGGATATTTGATGCACTGCTGTTGTGTTGTTCTCTTTATTTCCTTATATGAGTTATTACAGCAGATAACAAAAGGTTCAAGGCATATCAATATATGAAAACCTCAATGCTAACCATTTATATGTCAGTAGGAATTGCAGTTTTTGCAAAATTTGAGTTTAAATATTGATGTATCTTTGCCCTGCAGAATACTTTTTGGAGGACTCGGACCTGGACGGGCTGAGTGACATCACAGTGAGCTCCGTCCACACCAGCGACCTGTCGTCATTCGAGGAACAAAGTGAAGACGACGGGCTGTCCGACTCTTCTGAGGAGGGGGAGCTTCCATCAGATGGTCTCCTTCATCCCTTTGTTAATTGTGGTCGCTACTACCAAACATTGCATTTTCAACCCTGTCTCTATGTTAGAGACTCATGTTTTTGTTTATCTTGCCTCAGATCAAGATGAGAATGCAGAGAAGAAGCCGACAGACGCAGAAGAAGTGGAGCGCAAACCTCGCCGCAAGGCCTACGTTCACAAGCCCTTCCTTTACTCCCGTTACTATAGCGACTCGGATGATGAAGTCACTGTGGAAGAACGAAGGAAATCTGTGGTGAGTTTATTAATGTTGACATTGAAGGCATGGCGTTAGCAGAGCATCTTTGCTTTACTGCTTTTAAATCAAAGGCTTTACTTGGCAAATGAGTTGATCGTGAGCTTTAAAACAACGCAGAATTGTTTTAAATTAAGTTTTCTGTCATTTTTGTCTTTCAACCTTTCTCTCATAGGCAAAGGACAAAGAGGAAAGGCTGCTCAAGAGACAACAGAACAGAGAGCGAATGGAAGAGAGGCGTAAACAGAAAGCAGCACAGGCCGAAGAACAAGGTACTTTCATCTTATGTTTTAATAAAATCTTGTTTTTATGTTCCTTCAAACTGAGAACTACCATTTATCAGGCTTTGTTTCCTCTACAGATCAGAAAATGCAGAACCTCCCCAGAGCCAAAGAGGCTCGCAAGGAGAGGAAAGTTCTGGAGAAAAAAGTGGCTCTCAACAGGAAGAGGAAGCTAGACTCAAGGTAGTTAACGCTGCTGATAATAAACAAAAGAACCAAATATTAAAGTTTACACAATATATAAATGCATTCAATGCTTTCTCCCTTCAGGAAAGACGGAGAGGTTTCAAGCAGAAAGAGAGGAGATACGGAAGGATCCAAGAAAGCGGTATGTGAAAGACTTCATGAATAAAACTGATTATCCAGGGTGTCCGCGGGGTCTTATAAAGTATTAAAAGTTGATAAATCAATTTAGCAAAAATTAAGGCTATTAAAAAGTATTAAACGGCATTTTCCAAGTTATTACATTTTGCAGCTTGTTTTCAATAAGTATATAAATTGTCCATGAGGTTGTATTCTACAGTCTGCCTGAATGTAATCATTGCGTAGGTGTGTAGTGTGATTCTGTGTAGTTTATTTATGGCATCCCGTTGGATTTGACGTCATCTGAACAGGACATCGCACGCTCACTGCTTGATAGCACACGAAGCTCCGTTTACGCCAGTTGTTAAACAACATCGTTATGGGGAAATGCAAGTTTGCGTCCAAATGGTTGGAAGATAAGGAGGAAGGACAATCAATACTGTATATAGTCAATGTGAGGTAACGTGTGTCGCCAAGGTAACCTGTTAAAACTCGCAGTGGCGATGAGGTCTTAAAATGTATGGAAAGGGTCTTAAAAGGAATTACATTTGACTTCAGGATTCCTGCATATACCCTGTTATAAAACGGACAAGTCAAATCAAGCAATCTGATTGGTTCTTAGCCGTGATATACTGAGCGTATACCACGGGTAGAATTGTAAGTTACTTTTCACAACAAGTCAGTATCCCTCCGCGTCTGAGAAAAACAGTATACCGTTGGGCTGAAAAGCAAACAAACTGGAACAAGAAAGCAGCGGAGAAGTAACGGGGCAGAAGCTCTCCTTTTTGACGCAACGGTCCAGACATAGACATCAAACGGCAAAACATATTCAGTGTGCAGTTCCTTTGGCATTAGGGCAGGGATATCTAGATACTTTTGAAGGTTTAACATAATGAATAGGCTAGTTGCACAAGATGGCGTCTATCAACTTCCGGCGGCTGGGTGTGAGCCCGAGTACTTCCGGTCTTCGCCATTACTCACTGTACGGAGGCTCAGTCATTGGTAAAGAGTTGCGTGAATTTCATTCAAGGCAAGACAACTTTATTTACTTAACACATACAGAGGCTAAATTCAAAGTAGTACATTCACTGACATGGATATGGCGCCACCTTGTGTCATGTTTACAAAGAAGATTATTGACATTAGGTCTGGCAATACAGTCAATCATTATCCTGGTGATTATTTCGCTTATTTTCCCTTCAAAGAGCCATAATTCCCATCACTAATTGCTGCTTCGCGTCGGGCCGAACCACGCCCCTTAGCTGTGATATAATGAGCATATACCACGGCCTGTCGTGAGCTATTGCTTAATTATATCATAGGGAGCAGGATTGCTGAGATGTAACATGCGTCCTTTTTGTTTTGTTTTTTTTAATATCAGGAATTAAGACCTACACCTTTAAAGCCTCCACAACCGAAATTAATGAGAAACCTATCAGAATCAGCTTCGTCTGATGAGTGGAACAGAAGGGTGAGCGGCAGCGTCTCGGAAGACTCCAGTGAACCCAAAAAGCTCTCTGAAAAAAGCCGGACACACTCCTTCATCCTGGAGCTGGAGCAAGGTTCCCAAGAGACTCTCAAACCACGCACCAGTGGGAAATTTGATCGGTTGTCCCGTAAGGAACTTCACCCTAAAGAACGCAAAGACAAAGAACGCAGCTTGTCAGATGAACGTTTCAAACTCAAACAAAAGCAGGAGAAAAAATCAGAACAGCAGGCAGAGGAATCTCAGCAGAAGGAAGCTGTTAAAGTGTCCTCTGAAGACAAAGGGGAGAAGAAGCCTAAGATTAAAAGTGAGAAGAAAATGACCGGGACTACAAGAGAGGGGAAGTCGTCAGAAGCTGTGGCAGAGGAGGGTCCTAAAGATGCTGCTGTCAAGAAGGCAAGAGCTCCATCTATTGATACTGTTAAAACAGAGAAGGACAAAATAAGGGATAAGGGTAAAGACAAGGTCAAGGGAGAGAAAGCTTCAGCGAAAAGTGAATTCAAGCAGCTGCTCCGCCACGATTCTGCCGGCTCTTCTGAGGACCGGTCAGACCTGGAGCCGGGGTCCGACAGCAGCAAGAGGAAAGATAAACCCTCAAAGGAAGTCCTGAAAAGGTCAAAGAGCCACACTGAGAACAGGCCAGGAGACAAACCCAAATCTAAAACTGAAGGTAAAGACAGCGAGAAGGAGAAGAGCAAAGCAGATCAAGACAGCCAGAGATCAATCAAGTCTGGCTCTGAGATGGACAAAGATTCAAAAAGGGTCAAGCCCACAGAAAAAGTTAGAACCGTGGATAAATCTAAATCAAAATCTAAAGAGGAAACAAAGACTCCATCGTTATCGAAGACGGATAATAAAGTTCAGAGTTCAGCAGCAAAACCTGAGGCGTCAAAGGAGAAGAGAAAAGAGGTAAAGGAACAGCCAAAGGTTTCAGAGGAGCTTCCCCAGGAGAAATCTGAAATCAAGACTGCAAAGAAAAAAACAGAGAAGAAAGACAAAGTCCCAGAAAAGACAGACGATAACGAGGAGGAGAAGAAAACCCCCAGAGAAGACAAATCTTCAAAGTCTTCAGTGTCCTCACTCGACGCAGAGGAGCAGCCGAAGAAACCTTCCCTTCTGCAGGAAACCAGCACCGACTCGGACCCCGTCACCACCCCCTACTCAGACGATACCTGCGACGCACTGAGCGACATCACCCCCGAGCCCCCCGAGGGCGACACAGAGTCCCGACTCAGCGAGATCCCCGTCCTGCCCGCCGAGGCCGACGCCCTGCTGGCTCTGATGGACGTCTGTGCTTCAGCCGAGGCCAGACTCCCCCACGAGGAGCCGGAGACCCTCCTGCAGGACGCTGATCTGATGAAGGAGGCCGCTCTCACTCTGCTCTCCATGGATCCTAAAGGTGCCTCCAAAATAATTCCCCCGAATAAAGGGGAGGCACCAAAGGAAAGTCAGACGGCCCGACAACTGGAGGAAAGTCCTGAAGCTGAACCAAAAGAGCAAACGGCTGCTGAAGCTGAGCCGTCTCCAGCTGCTGTCGTTGAGCCGTCTCCAGCTGCTGTCGTTGAGGAACCAAGCACTGCAGGTAAATACAGAACAGTGTGGGAAAATGTGTGCATTATTTACTACATAAACACATCGGGAGGTTTCCTAAATAGAAATATGTTTCTCTTACAGATGTGTCGGAGTGTTCAGAGAAAGAAAAGGATGTGGGAAAGGACTCTCCTGCTCCACAGGTAAGAGCATTTTCCACATTGTACAATTAAGTTGCCTTTTTTTTTGCTGTCTATGGATAAAAACATTCTTCCTTTGGTTTTCATTTGCTCCTTTTGGACTATTTTCAAATGACCTGGTACATTTCTACTACTTTTCAAAGTATCATTTTATAAGGTGTTATTGTGCTTTGGAAAATCACAATTTTGCTTCTACACAGGACGATGAAACTACTTCAAATCAATCTATTTCAAATATGGATGAAGCTAAAACAACTCAAATTCCTGAGAAACAGCTAGATGGAAACACGGCACCGGCAGCAGCATCAACTACCAACGAAGGTAAACGTTTTACTATAATGATTACCACTCAGTTTGTCGTTTGGTAAAATACCTAATACCTAATGACTAAGCATCAACTGTGTTTCAGCCTGACGATGCTCATTCATTTAATTTGACTGTCTACGATATTTCAGATGCTGGTACTTTAGTGTCAGAAGAAGTTGGAGAAACCACAGATGAAAGCACTACTGCAGTTGATACCACTGAACAAGTCTCAGATATTCCTACTGAACAAGTCTCAGATATTCCTACTGAACAAGTCTCAGAAGTATCCACTGAACAAGTCTCAGAAGTATCCACTGAACAAGTCTCAGAAGTTTCCACTGAACAAGTCTCAGAAGTTTCCATTGAACAAGTCTCAGAAGTTTCCACTGAACAAGTCTCAGAAGTATCCACTGAACAAGTCTCAGAAGTTTCCACTGAACAAGGTGAGTGCTTGAAAACATTCTTGTAAAAAAGTAAAAGATGTGTTGTCTTAATCTGACTGTTAACTTTTCATGCTACCGTTATTTTAGACCAAACTGAGAGTGCAGAGGTTGTAGACACAAAGACGAGCCCGAAGGTGAGGTACCATTAATACATTTTATTTGTTTACATTGTTTAATTGTAAACAATACCAAACTCATTTATCTATTGTGAAACAGGCCGAGGAAGTGGTAGCTGATGACGACCAGGACAAGATGGATGTAGATCATAGTAAGATGTTTTCTCATCTAACTTTGACAGACATTCTTAATACTGTAAGCAATATCTTTAACACTGCTTCTTTTCTCCACCAGGTGAAGCTGAGAGTAAGACAGTGGAGGAAGGAAACGTTGCCACAGAAAAGAGTGATCTACAAACTGTAAGTGTTCGCCTCCGTCACGCTCACTCTGTTCAGATGTAAACCACCTGTAACATTTCCCCCTGCTCCGCTCTGCATCAGCCAAACGGCTCGCTGTACCCGCACTGCGAGGGGGACCCAAGCTCCCATCAGCAAAAACACGTCGGTTTGCTATCCTGGCTCCAAAATGCTGGAATGAGCTCAGAGGCGAAGTCTCTACTTCAAAGTCATCTACTTCCGACCCATGGATCTTATTTCGGAAAAATAATATATTGAAGTCAATGGAGAGAGAAAACGTATCTTTCGATCCCGTTTGAATTGTGCCATGAATTTCACATATGATGTTGGTCAATCTTAAAAAATAATTTCTATGTCAAAAAAGTCACAGTTTGTTGTAAAACGGTTGAAATATAAGAAATACACAACTAGAAAGACTACAAATCCCAGAGTCGCGTAAGTGAGCACGTTAGTTAGCATTACAGCCTTAGCCTTGCCATTTGTATAAGCCTTAACATGAAGTAACATTAAAGGAGACCTATCATGCTATATTTGAATAATATATTGTAGGGCTATACCTATATAAGGTATATTTATATGTTTTCTTTTTCAAAATACCAAACAGATCATGCATTTTAGCCATGCCTCATTTGGCCATATAGGCGGAGCTCCTCGTCACTGATGTCAAACCATTTTCAAATCTGATCAGTCTGTATCAGATCCGTTAAAGACCCGTTCTTAGAGATTTTGGGTATGGAGGAAAAGAGAGGTTTGTGATTTCTGACACTTGTTGAGTTCCCTGACACACCGGGGACACATATTCATGTATACAAGAAGTACAAAGGTGCATTTTGCATGATAGGTCCCCTTTAAGTAACCCAAAATGTTAAACAGTAAGAGTAGTAGTCATATTTCGTGAACCCTTTGAAGAGTACTGTTACACCGGTGTGATCATTCTATAGTACACCGTTTAAGCCCGGATGCCCCCGGGGAGACATGCTAATGCTACATTAGCATCGGGGATCTATTCTACTTCATGCTATCTGCACAAATGGTAACATTGAACATTAAAAAGACCAGGCAGGCAGGCAGGCAGCTTTGCATGACATTCTTCTGGACGTGTTTCATTGTGGTGACGGTGAGGGTAGTCAATCCCTTGTTTGGTAAGACAGTAGTGACGGCCATCTTGGTGACGTGTGTTGTTGTGCGAGACCAGAGATGTAGTTCATTGAGTGGTTTCACAAAAAAGTCTTACTTCAAAGTTTTACGGCAAAACATTTGTTTTTGTTACTTGCAAAATTATCTTTTAAATTGACAGACATCATATGTGTAAATCGTGGCACAAATTGAAACGGGATCGAAAGATAACTTTTCTCTCGCCATTGACTTCAATACATAATTTTTCTGAAATAAGGTCCGACGGAGGTCCACCGGAAAGGGAGAGACTTCGTCTCTGACATCAGGACAGCAGAAAGCTTACACATCTTCCGGCGCAGAAACTCATCTCTTTCTACTCCACTTCGAGCAATACACTAACAAAGCACTTGTATACTAATAAAGGACTGGCTTATCTAAAGCCAGTTGAGTAGCACTTGAAATTTTTTGGCTCTACGAAACCTGATGTACTTATATGATTCTGTTTTCTTCAAGTTTGTATCTTCTTGGTCGAAAAAGTGTCAGCTAAATGCAATGCAATGTAATGTAATGATATTGTCTGATCCAAATCCTTTTGTTGATCTTTAAATGATATCCAGATGGAACACAATGCACCGCAGAAGACTGAGGAGATCAGAGAAAGTGGATCAGTGGGTCAGTCCGTACTGGTCAAACAAATTAGTGAGTCATGTGACTTTTGTATCATACAATTTCTTTCCTCAACAGCTGCCTTTAAATAAGATATTTAAAATTAGAAAAATCGGACTCCAGAACATGGCTTTCATGTGTCATCAACTCCTCTACTGTCGGTCAGTCATTTTTGTTTGTGTTTTCAGGTAATGTCTCCAGTACAGACAGCCAGGAAGATGAGAAGGGGTCAGATCTGTCAGAAAAGGTAATGCAACAGTTTGTGTACAATGTGGCTCTTACGGCCCGTCCACTTTGAATGGGGTGACGTCACGCTTTGCCGAACTGCATTGTGGTTCCGTCGCTTTGCTCACGTTGCTCGACGGAAGCGTCAGCCAATCAAATCATATGCCAGTACAAGCTCTAGCCAATCAAACCACGTGCTTGTGTGTCGGGGGTGGGAGATTCATGTGATTGGTTGTTGGTCGAGTTTCAGACACGCCCACCGGCAAGCTTCAACGCACGCCGCCGTGTGGACGCTGCGTTACAGATTTGATAAATGTAGGTGTGGACGCAGTGTCCTAACCTCTTATTTTGTGTCGTAGGAAGAGAAGACGGAGGGACGAGGAAGACGTAAGCGAAAGCTGTCCACTCAGAAAGTTGCCGCAGTGAAGGAATCTGGTGAGATTTTCTTTCCTCGCCCACTTTTCAAGATTCAACGCCTATAATTCTCAAAGTTTCTGGCGAAGATTTTATACTTTCATTACATGTGAAAAACTAAACATTTATCTTAAGACATTAGAGTTGCAATGATAAGTTGATCAATTGATAAGGTTAAATTAATGTTTTAAGAGAGAATAGGGAGGGATGAATCCCCATATTTTAGGTCTGGTCGGGGACTTGAACCGGCGACCCTACGGCTCACAGTCCAAGCCCCTACTGACAGAGCCACTGCTGGTTATGAGCTATCCAACTAAATAGGAACCTTTTTAAATGTTGTATCCAGTCAGTAAATAACATTTTGAATCCACTGAAGAGCACACTTCATAAAATGGATCTGCCTTTGGGATGAGTTTCATGTGTTCACTTGTTTTCTGTTCCTGATCAGGTGATGAGAGGGATGAAAATGAAAGTAAAGAGCAACCGTCTGTTGAGGTAAACACAGCCTTTTCCCTAAAACCACCATGTAATTATGAAATTGGTGCAATGTGTGTTTTTTGGGGAGTTCAAAACCTTTCTTGAATTGACTTCTGTATACATTTATTTTGACTACACACGGATTTGCTCATGGATTCTTGTTACCTTCAGGAAACGGACCAGGAGAAGGTTGTGGAGGTCAGGACGCCTCGCAGGGGTCGATCATCCAAAACCAGCGAGGAGACCGAGAAGGAGCAACCTAAAGAACCTGAGAAACCAGAGGAGACCCCGAGCCGCGGGAGGAGGCGCTCAGGAGCGGCTGCCAAGGAACCCACCTCTGCTGGTAAGATTTAAAATCAGCAAACACAATTGTTGTTAACGTCTGATCTAGGATTTCACTTTAAAGGGAACTGTTCTTCCGGGTCATTGTGCAATATCAGTCCATTGATATAATGCACTAGCCAAAATATTCAAGTTGAGTCAAGATATCAGGATCTGGAAAATATAATTTGAATGTTTTAAAAAATGTATTCCTGAGGAACACTTTTGCACAATATTGATTTACCGAAGCGGTACCACTTTACAATAAGACTACCCTTATAAAGGATTCATAAAGGGTTTATAATTAGGTTATTAATTAGGTTGTAAACACTTTATTAATCATTAAGAACCATTTATAAACCAGTTCTAGCATACATCAACACAGGCTCACTATTTGGCAAGATGACTTGGGCCCTAGCCACACAAGAACGGTAACGATCGTATCTGCTACAGTTCTCGACCATACGGTTCGGCCACACGAGGCCGACATGGAAACTCATAAAACGTTAACAATAACGGGTCCCAAGGTGGGTAGATCTGCAAACGAAACGCTCTGGGGGGGCAAACGGCTCCGTGTTTACGCCTATAGGATCATTTCCTGATAACGTTGAAGCAATAGCCCCGCCTCTCCCCATATATATATATATAAAGGGGGAGGAAATCAATTTGTTTTATAGCTCAATAAATAACAAAGAAGGCACTTTTCTAATTTTATCCGAAAAATGTAAACTTTAACGGGACATGTTGTCTGGCGAAAAAAAATGTTAACAAAAACCGGCGATGTGGGGTGTAAATAGACATGACGATTCTTTTCCATCATTGAGTAATTATTTACCACTAACACAAAGTGTGAAATGTCTTATTCCGAGGGAAAAACCCGTCAATATTTACCATCATTGAGTATTTATAAATTACCAGTATTTTCTCTGGCGGGACATCATGTATCGCGGCCCCGGACATTCACCCGCGACATCAGGACGGTGTTTTCGTCGCTTCTTCTGAAGGCGTGTACCACAGGGGAAGGACAATAAGAGGCGACACCGAGAAAGAAAGAGGGAGGGTCTCCGTTCGCAAAACGAGGACGACTAGGACTCTAGAGAGGCGAGGTGTTCGTCTACTTTTTGTGGGTGGAGAGGAGCGGAGAAGAGTTCCCTGCTCCCTGGCACGCCG